AGGATTATTTCAGTCATAAACATATCATGGAAATAAGTATTTAACTGGAATACATGCTTACCATAAGGCTAAGTAAAACCGTACACATCTCTCCCAACCATATGTTCCACTTGGTACACAGAAGTCAAAGCAGTCTTAAGTACTGTTATGTATAGGAAGTACCACATGAAAACTGAAAAAAGCCCCTGAAGGAGATTTAAATAAACTCTGTCACCTTCCCATTTTCTACTCCACCTTCATTCTAGAGCAGCTGTCATGTGATTTCCTACCAGTCAGTACAGCACAGGACAAAAACCCCACACTACAGTGTTAGGCTTCCCTGACACCTCCTCCTCCCACTAGAGTTCACGCCATATTCAAAATAGCTACAACAGTTTCCATGCAGTTTCTCAGATTACTACTTAGTTGGGGGAATCCCATGTTTTGTTAAGCGGGGGCTGCATGGGCCAATCCTCCCCCTGAAGCAAAGCAAAGAACCACACTAACGTGGCCCTCTGGGTCTCTTTTTAGGAAAAGGAGAGCATCCAATCCGTTGTCAGCCCAGCCATTGGGGCAACGCTCCATGGTTTTCTTCTCCTTCCTGGAGTTGATCCAAGACTTAAAATTTCTGACCCTATCTTTGGTCAACAAGCACTGGATATCCAATATCCAGTTGAAAGACAAACTCACATGCATTGATTCCTGGCATTGTAATTGCAATTACAATTATAATTGGTTGTCTCCTCTTAAGATTTAAATCATAGTTGCACATATTGTCATGGAAGGTTACCTGGTAACTCTCCACAATTGTCATCCATTTTCAATCGTCTGCAAAAGTGCTGCCCATGCAACTATCTGCATGGCACTCTGTCTTTCCATTTTTTTCCCCAATTTTTTTTTCAATTGCTGCTCCCTTACTTGTTTTAGTGTGGTAAGACAAGGGCACGGCCATCTCTACTAGTAGCTGTACGTAGAAGATGGCTGCTGGCAAACTGGTTTACTGGCCTTGGGATGGCATTGCCCAAACAGTTTGGCAGAAAACCTCTGGATTCTAGGCTCAGAATAATCTGTGGTCAGCCAGGTTTCAGGGATTAATTCTGGTATACCTTAAAATAGGAAAGGGCTAGTCTATGGGAGAATTCAACTTACTGTAAAGGAGGCGAGATGGCTCCTGAAAAAAGCAATCTTTAGATTATGAAGATAGTCCTTGACTTGTGGCCTCAATTGAGCCCAGAATTTATGTGAGAAATTTGTTAAATGAGTTTTGTCCCATTTTACAACTTTTCTTGCCACATTTGTTGCAGTTGTTAAGTTAGTAACACGGTTGTGAAGTCATTCTGGCTTCCCCATTGATTTCATGTGTGAGAGGATAGCAAAAGACGATCCCAGTGATCCTTGTGTATCCAATCACACTTGGCCAATAAAGAATTCTATTCTATCACAGGATCCCGGGACACAAGAACCGTCATAAATATGAATCAGTTGTCAAGCATCCGAATGTAAAACGGGTGGCCATGGGGATGCTGCAATGGTCGTAAGTGTGAAAAATGGTCATAAGTCACTATTTTCACTGCCGTTGTAACTTCAAATGGTCACTAAATGAACTGTTACAAATCAAGGGCTGCCTGTACTCACTTGCCTCCTTGGCTTGCCATCTGCAGTTCCTCAGGAATTATTTAATAACCTTTAAACTAGAAAGAAGCAATGAGTTTCTCATTTAAATAAATTAATTGCAACACAAATACAGAGGTTACGAGGTTGGGTAGTTGTGGAAGCACCCTAGGTTTATAGGGTGGGGGAGGGGTTAGCAAAAGAACACTAGGGAATAATCATACACGTATTTCATCTCCCAATCTTTTCACTGTCTTTTGAAAGGGCAATGGGCTGCATACTAAAATAAAGTAAGTGTAAACCTATACTAAATAGTTTCTGTGTTTCTATCTGTCATTCACAGATAAAGATCATCACCTGACATTTACACACGTGTGAGAATCAGATTAATTCACATATGTATGTACCAAAAAACACTATTTAAAGCAGAGGTATCCAACTTTGGCAACTTTATGACTTGTGGACTTCAGCTCCCATAATTTCCCAGCCAGCTATGCTAGGTAGCTGTCCTGTTCCAGAGAGATCAGCTGCAAACAGTTGTCTTCAAGAACCAGCGTCATTATGGAACTATTTAAAAAAACCAGGAAGTAGAAATCTGAAGCCACAAACTCCTGTTCTTTCATCATTAGAACTGTCATGAGGAAATGATAATTGTCCATTGCTGTGAAACACTGAATAAAAAGAATTTTAGCTTTGTTAGGCTGGGTGCCCACAGACCCACCAAACGAGCAGCTACTCTTTTCAAAGGAATAAGACACACATTCCATACTTACATACATATTTTTTAGGGGTTTTTTTTTCATTTCACAGGAGGAAGCATTTGTGTTGGGAAGAAATAACTCCCAGCCCCACCCACGAACTCTGACCCTGTAACCTACAACTTCAGGTAACTCACATTTTGCAGAGCGGGATATTTTTCACAATGAGAAGTATGCACTATATTTGCTCCCGAAGGAGGTCAGCTGTCCCAGTTCTTTAAACTAGGAAGGACCACAGGAAGGAAAAGCGCAAATTCCACCCCCCACCCCCCCAGGTTTTCCCATCATGAGCAAATATCTGATCAGACAAGACGCATTTACCCGCGTCATTTTGTTCCTTCCATTGGCCTTCCCCAACCTGATATCTTTATGAAGTGCCAGCTAACAGACCTCTTGTAGCCAGCTTGCTCAGCCACAATTGAAAACCCTGCACAGCTAGAGAAAAGCACAGCAGAAAGGTAGCACAACCTGGAAAACTAGGGATGCCCAAAGCAATAAGAAAAGTTACCCTGTTTCTCCAACAATATGGCCTCCCCCAATAGGAAGTCCCAGCATGTTTTATAGGCATGAAATGAAATTAAGCCCCTCCCCCCCAAATTAAGGCCTATATTAAAACATGCGAAATGGGGGGGGAATGGTGGGGGGGGGGGGGGGCTTGCCATTAGGAAGTACTTTTGTTGCACACCCGGATATAGTGCTGCCTGTGTTGACCCTGATACGAAGTGCCCCACCCAACGCCGAGGTCAACATCCAAGCCGTCGCCGCCCGCCCACCCAAAGATGCAAGAGGGGGGAAGAGAAATTAAGTCACCCCCGAAAAGACGGCCTAGCCATTTTTTCAGGGCTCAAAAAAAAAAGAAGACCCAGCCTTATTATATGAGAAACACGGTAGTTCTGAATTCCAGGTCACAGGGTTGCCACTGAAAAAGTCTAAAGCAGAGAGAAGCAGCCTGGGAGGAATTTCAGGCAGAAAGGAGATGAGGGCAAGAGCCAGAAGCTCTTATGATACATGATTTTTGCCTGGCCTCAATTGCACCCTGTTCCCATTGCTTTTATTCCTGGAAGGGATTAGCTTGCTTCCCCCACCACCACCCCAGTTTTTGGTCCTCTTCCTGACAGAGAAAATAAAGCAAGAATGAACCATGGAAGCAACAGCAGCTGCTTTTTCTTCCCACAAGCCTTTCTCCACTCATGATTTGTGATTCACTCAACCCCCCCTCCCCCTCCCCAATTTATCACATCAGTAATGCTGGGGAAAGAAGAGGAAACTAAGCAGCCAAGGGAAAGGAGAAGAGACTTGGGGCAGAAGCAAGTAAGAAAGCATTGCAATCTTTCCCATGTGGTGCCCACCCCCCAGATGTGTGGGATTATACTTCATACCAGCCCCAGTTATCATTTCTTTCTTCGTTCGGATATTCTCTGAAATGTTTTTCTTTTCAATTTAACTGTGTATAGTTTATATATTAGTTTAACGTATTGTTGCTATGCAAATGCTTTTGGATCCGACATAGACAGTTATTTAATAATATACCATCCTTCACCACATTATCTGCTCAGTATATGGAAACCAAGAATGGAGCCCACGTTGCATTCTCCATGTACTAAGGAGCAAACCCTTACTTTCTTAGGCATGCAAGACTAGCAATACATGTAACAAAACCATTAATGGGAGGAAAAAAAAAAGGTTAACCAAATCTGCAGGATCACAGCTGAGGAAAAAAAAAAAAGGCTAATTATCAAATCCCACAAATCCTACAAAAAAAGGCTATAAAATATCAGTGGATTAAGGGCAACGACCTCTTTATAGTAAGAGAATGGAACTGGAGCAACATGTCAGCAAGAACTTGCAATCACAGCCCCAATTCACTATTGGTAGCCCATCCATCTAGCCAGGAGAGAGTTCGGATAACCCTGTGTAGACTTCCTTAGCAAACTTCCCACAGCCTCTTGCCTCTTACTACCTCTGTTCTATGGACTGTTGTCTCCACAAGAGCCACTTCAACAGATACAGACAAGTTAACAATATTTAGCAAACACCTATTAGAAGCACAAACCAGCACTGACTCAATAAATTGGCAGGCTGTGAGAGGAGGAACAGGGTTTCATATTTTTTTTCTCTTCCTATCTATTCCAAACCTCAGCTTCATTGTGTGTGTGCATGATTTCAATAGTTATGCACATAACGACTTGGCTTCTTGCTATATGATGAGAATGACAAAACACATATTTTGATATACTGGGTGAAAACCCATAACTTATTCTCCCCCTCCCCCAAGCAGACACACTAGTTCCATATAACTATTGGGTCACCTTAAAAAAACAAAACAGATGAGTTCATCCAACTCACAATATATTGTAACCCTGCCTCTCTCTTTCCTGTATTCTCCATCTTGCAGATAACACGTGCATGAATGACCGCAGGCAGGATCCCTGTTTGTATGGCCAACTCACAAATGGGCTGCGGGAAGCAATCCTTTCCCCCACTTTTCCCCATAAAACTACAAACGGTTTCCCCTCCCTTAAAACTTCCAGGTTCCAGGAAGAAGGCTCGTCACGCCAAAGAAGCGCCCGCGAGTGCAAGAATCGCGCAGCAACGCCTGACACGCATCGTCCGGCTGTCAACCACACCTAGGGACGCATCGGTGTCACTCACGTGTCTCCGTCTTCGGATAGGAAAGCAAGGGTCTCCAGCAACTGCTGCCTGAGCCTCTCCTCCTCCTCCTCGTCGTCCTTCTCAGAACTAGGCTCCCCTTGCAGCCCAGTTAAGGACTCCACAATAGACGAAGAGCCGTAACTCGAATCAAGTCTCTCGTCTGCCGGTTCCTCTTTGCCTTGACTGGCAGATCCAGGGAGTTTCTCTGGCGGGGTCCTTCCGGCAGCCGGGGACCGGGGCTCTGCTTCCCCAGGCTGACCATGCAGGGAACGGCTAAAATCGATACCCGAGTCGCACTGCCCTTCTTCCAGGTACGCGCCGCCGCCTTCCAGCAGCATCTCTTTCTTCTCCCCGTAGCTCCGAATCTCCGACATGGTCCCTAGCGCAGGAAGCCGGCGAGGCCTCTCTCTCCCCCAAGAAAGACGTTCAGAAGACCGGCGGCACACGCAAAGTCCGAAAACGAGGAGAAAGTGAAAACCGCGGAAAGCTCATGCCGAGAACGCAGCCGAACCAAAAGCCTGTGTGCGAAAGCAAAACGGCAAGCAGAACCGCCTGCTCCGCCTGGGTTCCTCCCAGCCCGCAACAGAATCCGCCTCTTCTCCCACCCCACCCCCAATGGGAGGGCGCCACCTGGCGGCGCGCGTGAAAACGACTTTTCCTCTCCGCTGGCCTTGGGGACCTTTGGCGACTCATTGCCGATATATTAAGAGTTGTCCACGATGAGGTCACGCTTGCTCTCTTTTCTCTTTAGGACCAGGTAGGAAGACGCCAAAACGGAACTCTTCCGAATAGCATTTGTGCATTGAGACGACGTTATCGAGGTCGAATGTATTGATGGTTGAGAATTGCACCCTGGCCTGCCCCCAATTGCGCTATTTCGTTCTCCCAGCACCCCCGCCCCCGATTTAACAATGTACTGTGGGCGTTTTATCGTTTTCATTTATCGTGGATGTCTTAGCGTTGTGCGAACAGCCCGAAGTCTTGCCTGAAGTATAGCTTTATTTGAATGTATACTAATTAAAATGTAATTTCGTTTGCATAAACAGCTCTATGCATACATCTCTTAACTAAACGCATGTGGGGCAGAGACAGACATCAGAAAGCAACCCAGCTGCGTGGTTTTTAGATGCTGGACTTAACAATACCATATGATCCTCAGCCAATCTATCCTCAGAGACCAGAGGGTTGCGAACAGACTGCCACAGGGAGGAAGGGGTCAAGCTATTTTCTGAAGCGCCTGTAGGCCAGACAAGGAATAATGGATGGAAACTGAACAAGGAGAGATATAACCTGGAAATAAGGAGAAACTTTCCGACAGTGAGAACAATCAACCAATGAAACAGCTTGCCCTCCGAAGTTGTGGGAGTGCCATCATTTGAGACTTTCAAGAAGAGACTGGACTGCCATTTGTCAGAAATAGTGTAGGTCTCCTGCTTGGATGGGGGGGTTGGACTAGATGACCTTTAATCCAACTCTGATTATCTGTTATCTGTTAACAGCAGATAGTTCCTATTCAGAGGAAAAGAAGGATATTGCTGGCCTTGCCACCTGTTTTCCAGAAAACCCGAGTTCTTGCAGTCTTTATACAAATGTACAAGTGCACAGGCATATGCATTCATTTCTCTTTCAGCCCGCTTTAGGTGTTCAATATGCAAATACAAGTAGTATCCAACTTACAACAATTCATTTAGTGACTGTTGGAAGTTATAATGGCCCTGAAAAAAATAACTGAAGACCATTTTTCACACTTAACGATGGTTGCAGCATTCCCCTGGTCATTGATCAAAATTCAGGTTCTTGACAACTGATTTGTATTTATGACCATTGCTGTGTCCCAGGGGTCATGTGATCCCCTTTTGCAACCTTTTGACAAGCAAAGTCAATGGGGAAGCCAGGTTCACTTAACAACTGGGTTATCAATTTGACAACGGCAGTGATTCAACCATGGCAAAAAAGGTTGCAAAATGAGACAAAATTCATTTAACTGTCTCACTTTGCAACAAAAATTTTAGGCTCAGTTGTGGTCCTAAGTCAAGGACTACTTGTACAAAAACCAGAATAAAGCTAAAGACACAACAACAGATTTGCAGGCAAAATGTGTGTTCAATGTGTGAAGGGTTTATTTTCGTGGTCATGATCATGATGTGACTGAAGATGGTGTTTGATTTTGCTGTATGAGATGCAATGACAATAAAGTAAACTAAACTAAAAATTCATCAAAACGTTGTTTTAAACTGCTCATTGTATAAACTTTGTGCACATATATGAATTTGTCCAAGTGTCAATTATTGGATTATATATGTAGTAGTTGTAGAATCTTATGTATTGCATTTTAGCCAAAATAAGACTGACATCATTGTAAATGAATTTTAGGAGTATGTGCATTAGATATGTTCTCAGATATGTACTCTTCTGTAGGATCTAATTTACAAAAGTCTAGAGATCAGTAACTTGCATGAAAATTTAGAAACATTCTTTACCTTTCTTTTCATATTTTAAAAGAAAATCCAGCAGCTCATACAGCCAGGAACAATATAGGCAAATAACTTGCAACAAGAATGTTTGCACTGCCTTAGGACCTACAGGAAATTCACTACTGCTCCAGGACTATATTTTAACTTTATGAGTGTAGAATGTAGAACCTGATCCACGTAATATTTTCACTGTGTTACATAAATCCTGGAAATTGTGAGAACTGAGTAAGCATGATTCAGTGAACCATGAGGAAGGGTGACATCACTGTCTGTGTGATCAAAGTCATCACATTATTATCAACTAGAGCAAGAAAAATTACATACCATCAAAGCAATAATGTGAATTATAAAGCTAGTGCAAACAAATTGTTTGATCCAGTTGGCACCTTAAAATCTGCTTGTAAAGTATACAATGCCATCAGTTTTCATCCTCTGACCTTGTTGCTACAGTAGTGATGAACTACAAAACAAAACAAAACAAAAACAGTATCAACTTTTTTCTCAGAGTCTCCACTGTGTTTTAATTGAAGTTAAAGGAAAAAGACTGAATCTGAGTAGCAGAGAGGCCAGAAGTTCTTGGATTTAATCCCTGGTGTCTTGAAAGTAGGTAACTCTAGCTGAGAGTTACAGCTCTAGTTTACAATATCTCCTTGTAACTTTATGCAGTTAGACCCAGCATTGCTTCTCCATCCGCCTCAGCGAAACCAAGTGAAATCAGACACATACTGAACTTAGGGCTTGGCTGGATTAAGTAATACACTCCATGAAGGCCAGTGTAGTGAGACTGACTCTTGAGATGACAAAGTGTAAGTAGTTTCCATACCCAGAAAGTCAAAAGACTGTTTGGGGTAGGGTGAGGAAGAAGCAATCATCAGTCCTTGTAGGGAGAGGACTCACCTATTTAGCTTTTTCACTGGAAGCACAGATAGACACAGTGTTGTGTCTACTTGTAGCTCCAGCTGATTCTCCTGCTATATTTTTCTTTGGCTAATTTACCTTAGTGATTTCCTATTTGAATTGTTATAATGTTCTCTAAGCTTTGTTTACAAGTTTCCCTTCCTGCAGAGGGTAACTACTCAGTTGCTGAATGACAGAATTAGAGCCATACTATACCCACATTATTCTGATTGCTTGTTTCTAATACAAAGTCAAATAAATAAACATTGAACCCATAGGCTAGTATTTATTGCATGTCTGTGTGTACCAGTTTAGATTATTGGTACATATTCTACTTATGGTGGTGTCTATGGGTAGATTCCAGAAAAATGGGGAAACTTAGGTAAGCAGGAGAAGAATATATAATTTTTTTCAAAAAAATCACAAAAAGATTTAAGTTCACATATTGTAGTATATTATGGTCTACTTAAACATGGCTTTTGAATGTTTTGGAATCACAATTTATTAAGCCAAAGATTATTGTTTTAAACTGTACCAGTTTTGCTCATATAACATGCTAAGTGGAAGTCAAACAGACCACAATAGATTAGCTAAAATAAAATTCATAGATCATTGGTTCTTTCTTGGTCTTTCTCAGGGCTGTTAGTAACCATAATCTAAGTATACTGTAATATTTGTAGAAATTTCCCAAATAAGAAATATGGCTTCAAATAACTTGTTCATTAAGATTTCTTTAATTAGCAGATAAATCAGAAGGAGTTCAGGACTAGAATTATTCTCAGAGGCTCATTAGTCATGTTAGCCAATTAAAATGAATACTTGAAGGGAATGATGAAATTTGTTAGGCCTAAATTGCATTAAAACTTTTTTTATTTATCTGTCCTTATGTGAAAAGCAGAGAATGATTCTCAGCTAGCAATCATTAAACAGAACAAGAATAATAGAATCACAAGGTTGGAAAAGACTTCTTTAGAAGTCCTTTATTCTAACCCCTAATTTTTTTTATGGTGGCAAGAAACACAATACAAATATATTTTTAAAAGTTTGAGTGAAAAAAATAATAATATAGAAAATATGCAGCGGTGCAGTGATTAGAATGCAATATTGCAGGCTAATTCTACTGACTACCAGCTGCCAGCAGTTCAATTCTCACCTGCTCAAAGTTGACTCAGCCTTCCATCCTTCTGAGATCAGTAAAATGAGGACCCAGACTGTTGTAGGGCAACATGCTGATTCTGTAAACCGCTTACAGAAGTCTGTAAAGCTCTATGGAGCCAGTGGTGGGATTCAAATTTTTTTGCTACGGTTCTGTAAGCATGACTTGATGGGCATGGCTTGGTGGGCATGACAGGGGAAGGTTACTGCAAAATTCCATTCCCTCCCCACCCCACTAACCTGCTTTCCAGCTCCGTTCTCCTGTGCAGGGCAACAAAAGAAGACCCAGCCAATCAGCTGGGACTCGGGAGGCAGAGAATAGATAGGGGCAGGGGCAGTCAGAGGGGGTATTTGCCGGTTCTCTGAACTACTCAAAATTTCTGCTACTGGTTCTCCAGAACTGGTCAGAACTTGCTGAATACCATCTCTGTATGGAGCAGTATATAAGTCTAAGTGTTCTTGCTATATTAAAAATAAGAAAACATAATATATTATCTTTATAATAATCATACTATGATAGCCACATCTGTACATGCGGGATTTGTGAACTGCCATTGCCATGTGGTAGCTGTGAGCATAGAATATTGTGCTAATTTAATCCAGCAGGCTCCCAACAGCAGGAAAAGGCTCTTTAAAGAGACACTCATTTCAAACATACAATACATAATCAAATAGTTCAACTCTTACCTTGGCAAATATGCTCCCAACCATAGCTGTTATAGCAAAAAGTCTCAGACTTGGTTGCTTGATTCCTCTTCAACGTCCTCCTTGATGGGTCATGCAATTCTGTTGTTGGTCCTTCTTCCTCTTCAGTTCTGTCAGCCATGTTCCACCCTCAGATGACATATACTGGGGCATATCTCTTCCTTGATCTTCTACCAGCCATCAAATCA